ATTCATCCGATGATGGACACTTAGGTTGCTTCCATGTCCTGGCTATTGTAAATAGAGCTGCAGTACTTAATCAGAATATTGAATTTGTAATCAAAAACTTTCCAACAAAGCAAACTCCAGGTAGTTTCACTGGTGAATTGTATCAACATTTGAGGAAGAATATACACCACTCTTACGCAAACTCTTTCAAAAACATAGGCAGGGATACTTCCCAATTCATTTTATGATGCCAGAAAAGTATGACATGAAAACCTGACAAAGACATTTAAAAAAATTATAGGCTAATATCTATATGAACATAGATACAGTATTTCTTAAAAGAATATTAGCAAATAGAATCCATCAGTATATGAAGAGGATAATACAGATGACTAAAGTGAGATTTTCCCCAGTAATGCAAGGTTGATTTAACATTTGAAAATTAGTCAATATAATTCACCATATTAAATAAAGGGGAAAAAACCGGATCATCATTTTATTGCTGAAAAAAAAAAGAAAAACCCATGTGTGTTAAATTGATGAAATTCACCACATGTTTATGAGAAAAACGCTTACACATCAGGCATAGAAGAGAAATTCTTCAGTCTGATAAAGGCCTTCTATGAAAAACCTACTTCTAACGTCATACTGACACAATGAGGGTTACCCTATGATTAGTGATAAGGCAAGATGTCTACTTTCACCACTTGTATTCCCTTTATACTAGATGTCCTAAGCAGTACAGTAAAGCAAGGGGAAGAAAAAGAAGTAAAAGGCATACAGATTAGAAAGGAAGAGGTTAAATGTCTTTACTCTTAGATGACATGATCAGGTTAGTAGAAAGTTATAAGGCATACACAGAATAACTACAAGAACATTCAAGTGCACTTAGCAAGGTCTTGGGATACAATGTCAATATACTAAAATCTTTTGTTTTTTTAGTATACTAGCAGTAAATGGAAAATGAAATTTAAAATTCCATTTATAATAACTTTTGAAAATATGAAATTCTTAGGGGTAAATTTAACAAAATATGCTCAATACCTATATATTAAAAGCTCCTAAATATTACTTAAAGAGATTAAAGAGGACTTCCCTGGTGGCAGAGTGGTTAAGAATCCGCCTGCCAATGCAGGGGACACAGGTTCGAGCCCTGGTCCGGGAAGATCCCACATGCCGCGGAGCAGCTAAGCCCGTGCGCCACAGCTACTGAGCCCGCTCTCTGGAGCCCGCACGCCATAACTACTGAAGCCCGTGCACCTAGAGCCCGTGCTCTGCAACAAGAGAAGCCACCGCAATGAGAAGCCTGTGCACCACAGCAAAGAGTAGCTCCCACTCGCTGCAACTAGAGAAAGCCTGCACACAGCAATGAAGACCCAACGCAATTTAATAAATAAGAGATTAAAGAAGATCTAAATAAGTGCAGAGATATGTTCATGGATTAGAAGACTTAATATTGTAAGTATTCATTCTCCCCAAATTGATCTAAAGAATATTCTAGTAGATTTTTTTTGTAGAAATTGACCTTTTTTTTCAATGTATATGAAAATGCAAAGAGCTTAGAATATCCAAAGTAATCTTGAAGAAGACCTAGAGTACCTAGAAGAAGAAATATTATAACACTATAGTAATCAAAACTGTTGCAAATTGATCAATGGAACAGAATAAAGAGCCCAGAAATAGGCCTGCATGACTTTAAACAAAAGGCCTCATTGTGACTTTAGGCTTGGCAAAAGTTTTTAGACATGACACAGTAAGTAATCAGCAAAAATGAAAAAATGATGTTAGATTTCCTCAAAATTAAATATTTTTGTTATAAAGACACTATTAAGAAAATTACTAGACAAGCCATAGACTGAGTGAAGATATTCATCAAACATATCTGTCAAAGGACTTGTATGTAGAAAATATAACAAACTCCTACAACTAAATAATTATAAGACAATCAGCCCAGTTACAAATGGGTAAAATGCTTGGACATTTTAAAAGGAAGATATATGAATAACCAATATACTAATGAAAATGTGCTTTACAGCCTTTGTTATAAGAGAATTGCAAATTAAAATCATGAGATACCACTAAACATTCAGCAGAATGGCTAAAATTGTATCAAGTCATTACATTGTACACTTTAAATACCTTATAATTTTATTTGTCAATTATACCTCAATAAAACTGGAAAAAAATGGCTGACAGCATCAAATAGTGAGGATGTGGAGCTCATGGAACTCTGATAAGTTGTCACTGGCAGCATAAACTGGTACAGGCACTTTAATACTTTTTTTTTTTTTTTTGGCGGTACGCGGGCCTCCCACCGCTGTGGCCTCTCCCGTTGCGGAGCACAGGCTCCAGACGCGCAGGCCCAGCGGCCATGGCTCACGGGCCCAGCCGCTCCGCGGCATGTGGGATCCTCCCGGACCGGGGCATGAACCCACGTCCACTGCATCGGCAGTAGGACTCCCAACCACTGCGCCACCAGGGAAGCCCGGTACAGGCACTTTAGAATCTGGCAGTTTGTTAGCCTAGAAAATTCCACTCTGAGATCTTTACTCAGAAGAAACGAAAAGCATAACCACAAAATGACTTGTACAAAAATGGTCATAACAGCTTCATTCATAATATTCCAAAACTAGAAGCAGCTTTGGTGTCCAACAATAGGGGAATAGGTAAACTGTGGATTATTCATACACTGGACTAATCCTCAGCAAAAAAAAGGATCCACACTGATACTCACAACATGGATCAATCTCGAAAACATGCTGAATGAAAGACAACACAAAAGAGTTCATACTATACGATTCCATCTTTATGAAGTTCTAGGACAGGCAAACCTAACATGTGATGCAAAAATTCGGAACGGTTTCCTTTGGGAGTATGAGGGAGGGATTTACTGGGAAGGGGCGTGAGAACTTTCTGAGGGGATAGTAATGTTAGAGTTTGGGTTATATAGCTCTAGGTCTCATCAGATGGACATATGGACATTTAATATTTGGATGTTTCACTGTGTGTCATTTTTAGCTCCCTCCGCCCCCCCCCCAAAAAAAAAGAAAAGAGGAAAAACTTTCAAAGCCCTATAAAATATTGAACTCTAGATCCTAATGATTTGAGTGTTAAAGTGTTCAGGAGTAAAGTGCACTGATGTCTTTGTGCAACTTTGAAATGCTTTAAAAATTAAGTGGGTTGATTGATGGATAGAAGAAGAGAAGATTGGATATATATGTGATGAAGCAAATATAGTGAGATATTCATTGTAGAAGCTGGCCAGTGGGTATATGGATGTTCACTGTATAATTCTTTAAACCTTTCTATTTGTTTAAATATTTCATAGTAAAAGTGTAGAAAAATGAAAGTAGACATAGATAAAAGGTATTACAACTTATGGGGAATTCAATTGTTTATTAATTCAAAAGTATTTATGGTATGTCAGGTGTGTGCTGAGCGCTCTCATAAGCATCACTGATCCAGTGAGAAACAAGACAAGCGTGGGCCTTGCCTTTATAAAACTATAATTCTGTTTCTTTCCCCAGCATTCCCTACCTCCATTCCTTGTAATAGTTGTGATTTATATGTCTGTTCAGGGTTTCTTAGAAGCTTATAGTTGTTATTTTAAAATATCAGATTTGTTTTATTTTCTTTATCATTTAATTGGCCAAAAATCTATTTTCATAACTGTGTGTGTGTGTGTGAGGGGGTAATGTTCAGTTGTTGAGACTATGATAAACTGGGGTTGAACTATTTTTAAAGTTTATTAATTTGCTTCCCTTTTCTGCACCCCATATCAGGACCCTCCCAGTTCTTGGTTCAATTTCCCGCTTTAGAGGGGAGGCCTTCAAAATACTTACTATCCAGTCCATCCACCCAGAAATCTCTAAAAGTCCTAAATAGACCAAAAGACACAGCCTTTCCATCATACTCAGGGACTGAAGACTCCCAGAGGAATGAGGATGAATTTCCACCTCAAAGGGAATACGCTTTGAGTTGTGAAGTGTTCGCAAGAGAGTTCAGAGCCAACCAGTTAGATCTTGAGTTCTGGGTATACAGAGTTGTCTGCCTGCTTTCCGACACTAACATGGATACGTCTTTTCTGACTTAGTGACCAAGATCCCTGTCTCTCTTTTGTGACCTGGTTATCTCTGCCTGTGCTGTACTTTGCCCGGTCCTTGTGTGGATTGGGTCTGATTCCTGTCACTTAACCTAATGTATGATTTATTTTATCTAATGCCTAATGTACCTGTAGCCATTCCCTCTCCTCATCCCATTTCCCATCCATGATCTGATTGAATCTGGTGTTGTCCTGCATCTGCTGCCTTCCCTTGTCTGTGCCTCTGACCCTAACTCCTGACCTGTACTCAATACCTGGAGAGTCCCTGCCACCTCTCCCCAACTCCTCCTGTAACTAAGTACGCTCTAAGAGAGAAGTTCCTCCTGTTGGAGCGCTTGAGACTTGGTGCGTCCCAAGGTCTTGGTGACTTTTCACGATGGTGCTTTTCCCGTGAGTCTCATTCAGCTCTGTGCTGCCATATTCACAGATTATCAGCCATTCTTCTCCTCGTCTCAACCTATGCTAAATCTGTATTTATTAAATATTATATATGTCAAAGGAATATTTGTGTAATTCTGAGTAAGTTATAACGAATAAATAAAATAATAAGTACACCTCTAGCCATCACCAGCTTAGTGAGAATTAAAGTGTTACCAGTATCTCTAGTCATTCTTAAGGCATAGTTGGGTAGCACTTTATGATCTCTGTACTGAATAGTCAGCCAGTATTACTGAATACTTAAAAACACTTAAACATTGTCTTCAGATATATTTTTGTTCAGAACATTTAACAAATTCAGGTAGCCCATTAGTGAAATTCTAATGTAGATTCCAGTATTCCCATTTATCTGTCAAACATTTCAGAATTCGCTAGAGTAACCATGCCTGGCCTGACATCATTACAGAGTTCTGTCAAACTTAGCCTTAGAATAAAGGAGAGAACTTTCTGAAGGCTCTAGCTACCATGTTTTTTCCCATAGAATTGCGGTTGATGGAGCACCAGAATTGAAGGTAGAGAACATGAATTCAAGGGCCAAGCTGCACGCTGCTCTTTATGAGAGGAAGCTCCTGTCTCTGGAGGTGCGAAAACGTCGACGACGGAGTGGCAGATTGAGGGCAATGCGGCCAAAATACCCAGGTACCGGCTGGTGCTTTCACCAAGCTCTATGATCTGTGTCCTGTCAGACTGATTTAATCAGCTTCTTAATTAACACTTAATGAATCAGAACTTTCTGATCACATGTGCTTACTTTTTTGGATATAGTCTTTTTCCTCGGAAACTTGTTTCAAAAGGATAATAAGTTTTTAAACCTTCCATTCTGTGATATTTGTATTGAAGAATATCCGAAGTGCACACATTTTGGCCTTTGCTCTTACTCTTATAGCATCATTTAACTACCTGATACTTAGTTTAAGTTTAATGGAACCCTGAGCATCATTGTTTGGGTTTTTCATGATTAGGTATGAAGTCCAGTTCGTCCTTTGACATTGCTGAGTTGTGTAAGTATTTTAAACATGAACAGAAAAAGGGGAATTTCTTTCTCTCCTAGAATCTCCCTTGTTACAGATGTTTGTCACGGACGAATTGACTTCCTTTTTCTCCCTCCTTCTCTCGTTCGTTGAGTGCCTGTATCAAGCACATTAGTCACTGGGGTTTCATTGGTGAATAAAAAAGCTATGGTCCTTGTCCTCATAGACCTTCCAAGGCAGTGAAGGAGAAGGATAATGGATAAACATATGATAGAAAGATATTCCCCTGCTTATTGTACCCCCGTGAAAGATGCTCTTCTGAAAACCTCTGACATGCTGTAGAGATTACTAAAAGGGTTTTTGCCTTAAGTTATGAGAGAACCATTGGTATTACGATGAGAAACATCAACTCTAATGAAGATCATTAATAGGTTTTTAGAATATATAAGAGGGACGTGTGTATGTTGTTAATCTTGTGCATTATTTGTGGTCTGATTTAGAAGTGGGTTTTTACTGAAAAGATAAAAGGAAGGTATTGGGAGAGAGGAAAATTTAATCCTTTTTTCAGCAACATTAGTGATTCTTCGCATTTAGTGATTACCCAGCCAGCTGAAATGAATGTTAAAACTGAGACAGAGAGTGGAGAGGAGGAAGAAGTTGCCTTAGACAGTGAAGATGAAGAACAGGAAGCTTCCCAGGAGGAGTCTGCAGGGTCCCTCGGAGAAAATCAAGCCAAACACACACCCTCACTGACTGTTATGGTAGAAAATTCACCCAAAGAAAATGCCATGAAAGTTCCTGAATGGAATGACAAAGGTGAACAGTGCTGCAAAACTGAGACTCAGGAACCAGAGCCTAAATTTAACCTGATGCAGATTCTGCAAGATAATGGCAATCTTAGGTATGTACCTTTCCTAATTATAATAGCAAAACTGAAAACAGCTAATATGTAATGTGTACCAGGGTATTGTGCTTGTGGCTTTATAGCCATTTTTCATTTCTTATGCACAGGAATCCTGTGAATTAATGACTGTGATTTGATATTATTACTATCAAGGAAACTGAGCCTTAGAGAAGTTGCTTGTCCAAGGTCTAGAACTGTGATACAAACCCAGGTCTCATTGGCTCAACAAATATTTGTTGGGCTTCAGCATTAGTGACTTAAGAGTACAAGGTGAGTGAGACAGGGAGCTCAAGCAGTTCATGGCTTAGAGTGGGGATACTTAAAGAGCGGGGGCTATGACCCCAGTATGGACAAAGGGCTCTTAGGACACAGGAAAAGGAGTGATTGGTCTTGCTTGGGAGGGCTAGAGAGACATCAGGGAAGAGGCAATATTTCAACCAGGCCTTCCCCAATAGGTAGGCTTTCCGGATTTGGGAGGTGACAGCTAAGTGTGGGAGTGCTAGTAGGGGGAATAAAGGCACAGAGGGGTGATAGTACAGTTATTCATTCAGTTCCTCGACAAATATTTGTTGAGCACTTGATCTATACCAGGAATTGTGCTGGGCTGTATAGTGTTATGGTGGAGACCAAAACAGTCGTGGAGCCCACAGTCTAGTGGGGAAGACTGGCAGTAAACAAAGAAACAAGGTAATTTCAGGCAGTAAGAAGTGCTGTGTAGACAATAAAATAGGGTGTAGTATTAGAGTGTAATTGGACAGAAAGTTTCTGTAGCTCCTGGTGCTTTGGGCATGGAGAGGTAAGCTTTAAGGTGATTCCTAAATGATGAGAAGGAGTAAGGCATGTGAATATCAGGGAGCAGAATATTCCAGGCAGAACGGCAAGTATAAAGAACCTGAAATTGGAATGAGCTTGGCAAGTTTGAGAAATACAGATTAGTGCTGCGATATTACATGGAGAAAAGGGTGCAATAAGAAGTGAGACTAAAAAATTGGATGTCATTTGACCATAAAGTGCCATAGAGGAGCCTGGACTTTATTTCCTAGATGGATAATTTTTAAGCAGATGTGTAATATGGTCAGATATGGGAACATATGTATATGTATAACTGATTCACTTTGTTATAAAGCAGAAACTAGCACACCATTGTAAAGCAATTATACTCCAATAAAGATGTAAAAAAAAAAAAAGAAAGAAAGTAAATTCTGGTTGCATTGTGTGAAAGTGATTGATAAGAGGAGAACTAAGGGTAGAGAGCTGAGTTAGGGGCTGTTAAAGTAGTCCAGAGCCAGGAAGATGAAGGTCCTGATCAGAGCAGTGGCTATAGGAATGAAGAGAATGGGATGGAGTTAATGAAATTTGCAAGTTAAAATTGGTAGGGCTTGGTCCCTGTAGATGTAAGAATTCCAAAGAGACTGAGTTTACCAAGTTTGGTAACTTGGTGCTGCCATCAGTCAATATAAGGAGCACAGGAGTTGGTTTCATGATAGAAATAATGTGTTTTATTTGGGACACGGTGAGGTGGAAGTGCTCTGGGATGAAGATGATCAGTAGATAGGTGAAAATACAGCTTTGAAAGTCAGAGTTGAACAGGACTGTACAACTTCAGAGTAGATGAGCTTGTCCATTTCAGTTTAGTTCAGCAG